TTGCTACAAAGCAAACAGTTCCTCAAATGGCCCACAAAAGCTACAAGCAACCTATAATCATCAAGAGCCGCACTCTTCGCCTACTAAGCGCAAAAGTCAATGTTGGGCAGAATACAAACGAACTGGCAATACAAATATATGAGGAACATATGCACAAAGGCATTAAGAGAAGACAGGCTTCAGTAACAGATAAAGCTTATCGATAAATTTATCTCCAATCCGAAAAGCTTATTCCGTTATGCAGCCTCTCTTCGACAGTCCGAAACTGGAGTTTCCCAACTGCTAGGTCCTAATGGTCTGATTAATAACGACGGCGACGCCGCTAATCTTTTGGCTGGACTATACTCTCGGACATTTCAATCGGCCCACATCAACTATATTGATGAAAGCTTCACAGGACTTTCCAAAGTAAACCTGAGCTCTGACTTGTTGTGTCTGGAAACTACAGCACTTAAGATTAGACACTTCTCCTGGCCCGGTTATAGTTCATTCTGCTATACTGAGGGAGGCAGCTTCACTCCTGGCAGCACCGCTTGACGTGATGTTCTCACACTCGCAAAGCCGAGGCAAACCACCGGAAATTCGGAGGCTGGCTCACATCACACCAATTTTCAAAGGAGGTCGACGCAGCGAACCTTCAGGCTACCGACCGGTGGCTCTTCTCTCTATACCTCCAAAACTTGTGGAGTCGGTGATGTGCGACGCTATACACGACTATTTATTATCCTTAAACTTATCTTCACTTCAGTATGGTTTCAGGAAGTTTTATTCTTGTATGACCAACATGCTATCTGCGGTGGACAGATGGACAACCATCCTTGATCGCAAGCTTAAGGTTGATTTCATTTACCTTGACTTCTCAAAAGCTTTTAAAATGTCCAGCCACACATGTCTTATTATTAGGCTCAAACGATTGGGTATCAAATCACCTCTAATTGATTGGCTCACTTCATATCTAAAAAATCGACATTTTAAGGTCAGGGTTAACTTCACTTTCTCTCAGGCTATGGAGTGTCCTAGTGGGGTCCCCCAGGGCTCAGTACTAGGACTTCTTCTCTTTTTGATTTATATAAAAGATCTTCCACAACAGGTATCGTCAGACTTATTACTTTTTGCCGACGACGTGAAACTTTGGAGAGAGATACGCAACCAAGACGATATACAGGCACTTCAGGAGGATCAGATTCGACTTCAGAGTTGGGCGTATGACAACGGACTTATCTTTAACACTTCAAAATGTAAGGTAGTCCATCTGAGACATCGTTCAGACTGCAACTACAACTTAAGAAACTCCTCTCTAGAAGTAACTCAAGTTGAAAAAGATTTAGGAGTGCTGGTACCCTACGATTTGAAGTCATACTCTGTGACAAAAATGCCTTTCGAGAAAATCTTGCACTGGTAACATTGAAGCTCATTCTTGGCCAGTTTGACAGGAAAACTTTCCACACAATCTTCAACAGTTTTATTCGTCCCCATTCAGAGTACGGAAACATTGTATTTCCTCCCTCACTCCAAAAGGATAAGGACACTCTGGAGCGTATCCAACGGCGAGCCACGAAATCAGTTCTGGGACTCAAATTCAAGCCTTATGAAGGGCGTCTCCAATCACTTGACCTTTACCCATTAGAGTATAGGTGTCTCAGATGTGACCTAATGGCTTATAATATCATTCACACTCCTGGACATCCCCCTAAACACCTACTTAAGCTCAGTCCCAATACAAATCTAAGGGGTAACATCCAGAAATTGGAGATACAACATAGCAGAATGGACTGTAGACACAGCGTCTACTCCTTAAGAGTTGTCAAATGCTGGGGTTCGCTGCTGACTGAACTAGTGCAAGCGACTTCCCAGGAGTCATTTAAGAGGAAACTTGACCTATTCTTAAGGACTAAGGATAATATCTTACTATGATTTACCGATTTCTTTTTTTCTAATCTATTATAGTTAATATACCTAGGTCCCTGCCTTGGAGTATTGGTGATCCACTGCTACTAGGCGCGGAAACCCGTTAAGTGGAAGCTTCTTCTATTCCGTTCACAACCATTTGAACCATTTGTTTATTCAAACACCTCATCGTTTCAGTATTAAGAAACTAATTAGCACGTGGTGATTATTGTGTCCCATGCAGGGTTTGTGCTTTGATATATCATATTGTCTTTTATGACCACGTTTTGTTGTATCTGTATGCAGGACCAAAATAAGCGGGGGGTTCGCATGTTTATTTCTTTGACAGGAATTAGAAAACATCGTTGATGAATTACGATAGTTGCAAGATATAAAAACTTCAATACTATCTAGTCACAAAAACACTAATGACGACGTGTCGAGGCTCAGTACCATCATTACGTCGACGGTACTAGACTCCTTAGGCAAACTCGGGTCTCTCAGCTCAGGGTCCCTGAACACAACAGTGGTTCCCAAAAACCCTGCAGGTGATTCGACCCACGTTAAGAGAGCCCAAAAGAACCAGGCACCACCGCCTATGCCGAGCAACCCAAGTGTTGCTGCACGGAAAATAACTGGTGATTTAGTCGCACAGTCTACCCCCAAGACTGTTCGTCCGGTCAATAAAGAGCCCAAGATTCATAAACGCACACTGACCTCCAAACAACAAGTTATTAAACCTGAACCCATCGTGAAACCTGGTAAATTAACAACAGTTCGTGACGATTCTTTCATTATTATGAACCTCGGTGACAATCCTGACCTTCCTCTCAGTCTGCAGGACAAAAACGACAGGATGCTGTGGGGTGAATTGAACAAGAAGCTCGAACTTCCTAGAATAGAACCTTTGACAGTCACCCAGCTCACTCGAGGAAAGGATTCTAAGCATCTAAATCACCCGAGGCTTCTCCGAGTAACACTTAAGAATGCTACCGACGTAGAGGATGTCTTACTAGCAAGTCACTTACTGAAATCCGAAGGTAACGTAAGAATATTGCCCGACATACCGTACTCTGAGCGCAATATCATACGAAACGTCCCTAAAGAATCTCGCGAGAAGTTTTTCCGCGGAAGAAACATAATTGTCCAAGGTATACCGGAAAATGCAGACCCTACTCAATCAAATTCTGACATCAGGAATGGAAATTCATCAAACAGTCCTTGAGGCACAAACACATACTGACTCAGCATGTGACGAGACTAGCCAAGAAGGACGGTGATCTTAGACCCTGTCTAATAAAGATAACCTTCCCGTCTTCCCACATGGCGGCTGCAGTTCTGGAAGCATTTCGTGCTAATAGACGTCGATTGCCACCTGGAATCCACATGCACTCGTATAGGCCATACGAAGCTAGGACCAAACACAAAGGCAAGTTGGAGCTAACCGTTCCACTTGTGGACTGTCTAAACGATAAAAAAACGTGTAAAGGACAGGGCCTACCACCTCGGCAAACCTCATATAGGTGGGCTACCTGTCCATTCACATAAGGTTCATACAGACAAAGAGGAAGAAGCTCACGCGTTCCAGATTGAAAGCATAAACTGCTTATATATGAACGCCGCGAGTCTACCAAACAAACTGGATGAACTACGTGAACTTAGCAATGCTAATAAGGCCCATCTGATAGGAATATCTGAAACCTGGATATCTTCCCAGTTCTCGGACCAAGAGTTAGCGTTACCTGGGATGACTTTGTTCCGCAACGACAGAAAAACAGGAATTGGGGGCGGAGTAGCCATATACATAAGCTCTTGCTTGGAGGTGCACCAGGTTCACAACCTCGAGTTTAACAATCTTGAGGAATCCATATGGTGCTCTGTAAGATTGTCTAGTACTTCCAGGTGTCTAGTCGGAGTCATTTAAAGGAAGCCAACTGCCGACACCGAGTACGATAGTCGTATGCTGGAAGGACTATCCCGCTCTATCCGTCTCGGTTTCACACACGTCCTGATTCTAGGGGACTTTAATCTCCCTAGAGTCAACTTCGCGGAACACACGTACACTGGAGGCGACAACTCAACTGAAGCTCGGTTCTTCAACCTCATCGATAACTTGCGCTTATATGAAAATGTGAGGTCGGCAACTCGTTGGAGAAACAGTCAGACACCATCGCGCTTAGACTGTGTATTCATTAACGAAGAATTCCTAGTCGACAACCTCTAAATCCTGGCTCCCCTGGGAAAGAGCGATCATGCCGTCATAGCCTTCAGTTTTGTCATCAAAACTAAGCTAAGGTATCCCAACAATAATTTACGTTGGAATTTTAAACGGCTGAATGTGCCAGCTCTACATGACTATCTACAACAGGTGGTTTGGGATGTTCACCCCCAACTCGATGTGGATGGTCATTGAGACTTCTTACTGCACACGCTCTTATGTGCTACAGACCATTCAGTTCCTCAAACGGTTCCCAAAAGCTGCAAGCCACCTACAGTAATCAAGAACCATACCCTTCGCCTGCTAAGCCGCAAAAGGCACTGTTGGGTAGAATACAAACGAACTAATAACGGCGGAGCGTATAGGCAATATAATTATATCAGGAACATATGCACGAAGGCTATAAGAGAAGACAGGCTTCAATACCAAGCAAAGCTTATGGACAAATTCGCCTCTAACCCTAGAAGCCTATTCCGTTACGCAGCCTCTCTTCGTCAAGCCAAAACAGGAGTTTCTCAACTGCTAGGTCTTAATGGCCCGACCAGCAATGATGGCGACGCCGCTAACCTTCTGGCGGCACATTACTCTCAAACATTTCAACCGGCGGAATGTAGACACAACTTCTACTCCTTAAGAGTTGTCAAAAGCTGGAATTCGCTGCCGGCCGAGCTAGTCCAATTGACTTTTCAGGAGTCCTTCAAGAGGCAACTTGACCTATTCTTAAGGACCAAGAACAGCATCACAGTATGATTTACCAATTTCTTTTCCTCTTTTATTGTTAACATACCTAGGTTCCTGCCTGGAGGACTTCGTGATCCCCTGCTACTAGACACGGAAGCCTGTTAAGCGAAAGCTTCTTCTATTCCGTCCACAACCATTTGAACCATTTGAACCATTTTGTTTAAAATAGTTTAGTTGTCCAGTGGTAAATGAGTTGTACAAAACATATCAAGGGTGTCTGCAGTCCCCTTCAAGGTCAGCATATTAGTATAGAACATCGTTTTCCTTGTATGCTTTAACTTACCACAATGTTCAGTTTTTGACCGAGCATCCAATGACACAAGTTAATATTTTAATGTCTCGATGATATCGCTTTTTATCTAGTGTTGTGGTTTAAAGCCTCCTTGGTTTCCAGACGTGAGAAAATAGTGAGACATTGCCATTTTTGTCTTCCTGACTTAGCTATTTCGCTGAGTTTTCAGCGGAGTGTCTGCTTTACGCCTTAATATACAACTAAATGTCAACCTCTAATCTACAGTTACGCCAGATAAAATGCGGAGTCTTTTGATAGCACTGAGCAACAGTGCCAGAATGCTTGGGATGCGTTTTTCCCCCCTCTAAATGCAAGTTGTTGCTTCATGATTGGCCTGTGTCAACACCTGAACTAAGGATAGGGAATGAAATAGTCGAACGCGTTGACAACTTCACTTATCTTGGAAGTCTGATCAGCCATAATGGGTTGGTGTCTGACGAAATCTCAGCACGGATTCGGAAAGCTCGTTTGGTTTTTGCCAACTTACGTCACCTATGGCGAAGACGAAATATCCGTCTATCAATAAAAGGACGAGTATACTGCGCGGCAGTCCGTTCTGTCTTACTTTACGGCAGCGAAACATGGCCATTACGAGTAGAAGATACTCGTAAGCTACTAGTATTTGATCACAAATGTCTTGGAAATATTTCCTACATCTGCTGGGATCATTGGGTTAGTAATAGTGAGGTTGGGGGAGTGAGGGTAAATCAGTTGATGGGGTTGTGAATCTTCATCGACTGAGATGGTTGAGCCACATGTTACGTGTGCTTGAACACCGATAACCACGACTCGCAATGCTGACTACTGTTGAGGATGCTTGGAAGAAAGTTAGGGGCGGTCAAACCAAAACATGACATCAGTCCATAAAGTCACTAACTTCTGGTCTGAGCCGTGTTGGTGGATGTAGGCTACTTTGTTGGGGTCTACGCGACTATCGCAACCAATGATTGGAGACCCTGTGTGACATGGCTCACAATCGATCACAATCGCGTCGGTGTATACATTCTCTATATTCCCTTGAACTGTGAGATCGAAATAGGTTCATATGTCCCTTTCTATGAACTATTTTTTTCTTTCTATACTATATCTTTACACAAAACCATTCTTTTATATATCACACCATTGAGTTGACTGCTTTTATGAATCCGATGTTCGTCTTGCTGTGCTAATGAGGTATGGCAACTTGGACCGATGCATATATGTGCTTGGTCCGACGTTGTAGATGACTCACCAAATAGCCTACTACTCACTTAAATTTCCGCGAAGTTCACTCACTACTATGTGCTCAGTCCAAATGTTTCCTTTGTTTGCCTATATTTTTACTACAAAATTAACGTTCAAGCACTAGATTAATTTTCTGAAGTTTAAACCTGGGTAAAGACACTGATTTACAGAAAATGAGATCATAGTTTACAAAGAGGCTAATAACACTCCGACGTTTGCCATACATCTTCTTTGTTAGTGCAAAGTTTGTTTTTAACCAAGACCTGCAACAACGTCATAGTTGCCTGTTGACATTATTTATTAGGGATGTGTCTTAGTTTTCAACCCAATATGGAATCATACACGCTGTCACTACATACGTCTAATTTTCCTCAACGTACTGTATGTAAGTGATATAGTAGATGCATATATAAATGGCAGTCTGTTGGAAGATTAGGATTAAAATAACCAATTTTATAAACCGGTAGGGCTCCATTGCTACATCGATTTTACTATTCAGAATCTTAGTAACCGTCTTTTGAATTCTGGAATTTAAGACGAACGAAACTTTATGATAATTTCACTTCCGTATTTTTTGTTACCAACACCTAACTGCATAAAGTGTTCGTTAACAATAGACACCACCTATAGAAAAGCAATCAAGGGTTATTATTTAGTTATAACTTACGTTCTTTTCTTTCTATGAGTTTGTATCTCATGTCACAGAAACGACCTTACATTGACATATCAAGATTTTTGAGGGTCTTTTTGTGTGGTACTTAATGATAAACACCATAGTGCTAGTGCACCCAATGATTAAAAACAAAAACGTACACTATTCGTATGCTGCCATAAGACTTACACCTCTGAAATGCCCTTATAGATGTAGTACCAAGTAGCGTACAGTGGCTAGCAGCTTCAGGCTTAATGATGTAGCGCATGAAGGTTTTCGAGTTACCATCCATTATTCTCATCACCATGACCATCTAGATTGTGAAGTAATAATCCAATACATTTAGTGGAACTACGGATTTGTCCATGCCTTCTTGCTGAAGACATGAGTCCAACGTTCCTTTTCAGACGACAAAGGAGAATGGAAACTCGATGATCCAGTATCAATGCTCTGTGGGTTTTTGCGCGCATCAGACTTAGACTAACATAAGCTGCATACCATTAGCACTCATGTTTGATATTACGACATTTAATGGGGAACAGCGTATAGTTATGTGGATCTGAAAAATAGACTTAAATTTCACATTTCAGCCGCAAACCGATTGCCAATAGGTGTTGGTGTGGAAGTCGGCGGTAACGTTTTTGCTTGTGCCGAATTTATTTATATGCATTTATAAATATATATACTTGAATGTCCAGCAAACTGAATTGCGGATATTGAACGTGACTGTTTTCAGCCTGCATTTCAGTTACATCCATGTCTACTGAATTCTACAGATACCCCGATCTCTGTTTCGACGCATCACTACAAACGATTTATAGGATTGTTATGCTTAACTCTTGGGTTTTTCTGCATTCGATCGCAATGTATTTTCGTCAGTTAAACTATTGGCATGACAGCCGGTCAGTTTACTAAACAAAACCAACAAATCTGTCGCAGTCTACACATATCTATTTGATGCCCCCTTGTACCAATATTTATGTGTTCAAATAAATAAGTAAAATGGTCTACACCGCCTATAGGAAGTAAGCCTGTGTGCATAATTGACCATAGTAGTAGATAATCCCACACCTGATAACCGACCAATTGTTATGTAGTTGACCACCGTTCTCCACGTACATATCCACAAAGTTAGCAGGATGTAAGAGAAGTTATTCACCAACAAGCCACTTGGTTGCTGCAATAAATACCTGCTTCAACGATTAAATCTATATCTACTGTAACTGCCTTCTCGCTGCACGAGTGTCGTATAGGAAATTGAGAGGACGAAAAGCGAATGACCGGCGCTTTAACTGCGTTGGTGGGTACAAAATACCAACCTAGGAGAGTCGAAAAAACCTGATTCCAAACCAATGGTGTATGTGGGCTCCAGGATTATGAGGGAACAAATGGCGTATGAACCTTTTGTTGGTCACCGGCTACCATGGGACTACATCTCCCAACGTTGCTCCATTACCTTGTGGATTAGACCTTTAGAAAAAAAGGCTCGAGTGTGACCCCCTAAGAAAGCCACATGCTTAGTTTTGGAAACCCTGGAAGTATCAAAGCCCTTACACAAATCAATAATAACTACTACTAGCCTGATTGTTATTGTGTGGCACATATGTACTTGGTGTCTCTTTGTACCGATGCTTATGTATTCAAACAAGTAACTAACTAACAACCCTTCACAACAACAAAGACCCTCTGGGCACAGGATTTTTCCTGGAACAGAGCGCCCAACAATAAAGGTTAGATAACGGACAGCAGCTTACCTCCCCTACTTCAGGAATTTTACCAACAAAGTTCCGATATGCGTATCTGTACACTGCCATTATATCCTCAATCAAATGGAAAAGCAGAGCGATTTATGGACGCCCTCAAACACAACGTTGACAAAATCAAAGGAGGGCGCTCATCGCCAAACGATGCACTACTGAATCAGGAATCCTCACGGGTCGTAGATTGAGAATCCCTCACCTACTACTGGAAAGGATTAGCTATGCGAAAATAACAAAACCGAAAGTCTCAGATTTTGGAATGGGATCTCTCGTGTTCTCCCAACATTACAGATCGAAACGTGACGCATAGGTAGAAAGGTGAGTGACGAGAAGATTCGGTCAGGTAATGTATGGAGTTGGAAAAGACAAACGGACTCCACACCCAATCAATTACAAAGACAGGTGTCGTCGATAACATACAAGAACAAGCCACTCGATTCTAGAAACACCAATAGGCACACTCGGTCAACCACAGCCCCCGAACAACAGACTAGAAAGGACAGAAATAACACCTTTAGAATTAGTGAGACTACGTCCAAGATGGTGAAGACGACAACGGCGGAGAATGGTTCAGTCTCAAGTGAACCAAGGGGTTATAGGTTATTTGAAAGGGGTGTTGTGGGTATTAAATCCATAAGTACGGCATTTAGGAAGAAAACAACCTTAAGGTCCATAAATTAATTTATAGCTAGTTCTGCTGATCAAATCTCAGTGCACCTCCATTTGTATTGATTTATTCCGTATGAGTTTGAAAGCCTTTCATCGTATTAATGAGGCCAATGTTACTTAACATTAATATGGTGACTGCTCTGTCGATAATTATTGAAGTTGATCGGTATATTTTTCAGTTTATATTTATTTATTTAAGCACATAAATATTGGTATAAGGAGGCACCGAATATATATGAGCTACGCTTTGTCATTCGATTTGTGTGAGGGCTAGAATACTGCCCAGGCGCCAAAAATTGAGCACTTGGCTTTCTTAGGGGTCACACTCGAGCCTTTTTTTCTAAAGGTCTAATCCACAAGGTAATGGAGCAACGTTGGGAGATGTAGTCCCATGGTAGCCGGTGACCAACAAAAGGTTCATACGCCATTTGTTCCCTCATAATCCTGGAGCCCATATACACCATTGGTTTGGAATCAGGTTTTTTCGACTCTCCTAGGTTGGTATTTTGTACCCACCAACGCAGTTAAAGCGCCGGTCATTCGCTTTTCGTTCTCTCAATTTCCTATACAACAGCCCCGCTGCCAGAAGACAATGAGTAAGACTTCCCTAATAGTGGCTGTATACGTGTGACCATGTGAGAGCGTTTCAAGATAGGGAGCGAACTCTTCCCATCTTCGGTCGTACCAGGACATTTGGGGGCTTTAGGGGTACCACGGAGAAAATTTCTGGTCATTTCGAGATCAGATATTTAATACCACTGATCGGGTCCACAATCTACGTAAATTCTGCACCATGGATTCACTTTTTCTCTAATAATACTAGCTTCTGGTCACCAGTCAGTTTTAACTTTTATTGAACCCATGTTACTGTTCACCAAATAATATTGCTAAGATTATACATAGTTCATAAAATTAAAGACTAGCGAAACAGCATCTGAAATATCCTATCATCATTCGTGCTCAGTAGAATGTAATCCAAGCTATAAATTGTTTGTTTCAGTCAGCCGGTCGCGCACGGCCTTTTCGTGGAAGGTTTTTAATGTGTTAGCTCCGTTCTTCAAAGGGCCTTGCCACCGGAGACGGAAATCCGTGAGGTGTGACATTTTTAGGATCGACCTTTTCTAACCCCACCCCTCCTTGTGGGAAGGCAGCATTGCTGCAGATGCTGGTTGTCTAAGGGAAACACCTTACTGCTATCACACCTCTGTACAGTCAGCAGTTCGACTTCGCCCTCAGACCTTGAGTTGCTGCTTTTAGTCTTACCGTTCTCTAATCGACCTGCCTGGCATGGTAGAACCTACAGGAACATATGTTCCAGCCAATATAGCTCGGTTGGGTCATCACGATAGGCAAGTCCGACCACCGCGTCAAGGTGGCAGCTTCGGTCGGGATTGTTTTTTTTTTCGGTTTTTATCCTTATTGATTTACGAATGTTTTAGCTTTTGTGTCTTACTTCCCCCTGGAATAAATCTTAGTCAAAATTATTACTATCAGTACATCACACGAAGAAGTTGCGATAGCCAGCAGTATCTACTCTTTTGTTCCGAAAGAATGTCATGGTATGAATCACTTGTATTTGGCGACTTCTGATTTTACCTGACTATAAAACGTGGTGTGGGCTTAAATTTGGGATCCATTTGTTACTCACATGTATGTTTTAGAAATAATTATTAACAGACACAATGTTTTACATAAATTTTTCCATTTGAAATGTATTTTTCAGTATTTCTATGTCAATGCAGGTGACGAAAATTGTTTCAAAACATCGACCAAGGTATAGACAAGCACGCATTGTCTTTCCATTGCTTCTTCCAGTGTTATTTGGTATCGCATCACTACATCCAATTGCTACTGTGCTTACTCTTCTTTTATGTTTGATCGTATGTTTCAATGTCGTTATTGTAGTCGCTCCACCCACATGTCCCTCAGAAGATACATTCCTTTTCTACAGATCGTCTGATAGGTATGACGGGTTTCTAAGGTGCGTTGCAATATAATTTCCTTAAGCTGGTATGGTGTTTTAACGTGGTTGTATTACCAGAAATCTGTTTCTATTTAGATATCATCAATGTTTTTCAGTGGTATGTGACTGCTGTTCATTTATGTTTTGTGAGCAAACGATTACCTTATTTGTATTATCTAGTACCTAGTAAATTTCACAAATTTATATGACCTGTCTTAGTACGTCTAAAATGTCTTTATTTCCATTATTTCAGTGAATATGTACGTCATATCTGTTTCCTTGTGAAACAAATAATACACTAAGTATCTGTCCATTGATATCAGGTCTTATGTCATGGGTAAGCAACTGACCTTCAAAGTTGATATCCTACGATCATTTATGACATCGAATCATGTTCTTTTTCTGCCGATAATTTGTATATAAGTACGTTATTTTATCAGAGAAAAAACTTACTATTCTGACTAGAGGTTATTTCTTCGATGTCAGTTCATCCATGGTTTTGGACAGACATATCGTTTTTGTGTGTACTCATCACTCATCCATATCACATTATTGGGTTCACCTATTTCAATCAGTCACAACATAGGACCAGGCACATATATGCATCGGTCCAAGTTGCCATACCTCATTAGCACAGCAAGACGAACATCGGATTCATAAAAGCAGTCAACTCAATGGTGTGATATATAAAAGAATGGTTTTGTGTAAAGATATAGTATAGAAAGAAAAAAATAGTTCATAGAAAGGGACATATGAACCTATTTCGATCTCACAGTTCAAGGGAATATAGAGAATGTATACACCGACGCGATTGTGATCGATTGTGAGCCATGTCACACAGGGTCTCCAATCATTGGTTGCGATAGTCGCGTAGACCCCAACAAAGTAGCCTACATCCACCAACACGGCTCAGACCAGAAGTTAGTGACTTTATGGACTGATGTCATGTTTTGGTTTGACCGCCCCTAACTTTCTTCCAAGCATCCTCAACAGTAGTCAGCATTGCGAGTCGTGGTTATCGGTGTTCAAGCACACGTAACATGTGGCTCAACCATCTCAGTCGATGAAGATTCACAACCCCACCAACTGATTTACCCTCACTCCCCCAACCTCACTATTACTAACCCAATGATCCCAGCAGATGTAGGAAATATTTCCAAGACATTTGTGATCAAATACTAGTAGCTTACGAGTATCTTCTACTCGTAATGGCCATGTTTCGCTGCCGTAAAGTAAGACAGAACGGACTGCCGCGCAGTATACTCGTCCTTTTATTGATAGACGGATATTTCGTCTTCGCCATAGGTGACGTAAGTTGGCAAAAACCAAACGAGCTTTCCGAATCCGTGCTGAGATTTCGTCAGACACCAACCCATTATGGCTGATCAGACTTCCAAGATAAGTGAAGTTGTCAACGCGTTCGACTATTTCATTCCCTATCCTTAGTTCAGGTGTTGACACAGGCCAATCATGAAGCAACAACTTGCATTTAGAGGGGGGAAAAACGCATCCCAAGCATTCTGGCATTGTTGCTCAGTGCTACCGAAAGACTGCATTTTGTCAGCGTCTTCACCAAACAGGACTATATCATCTGCGTATTCTAAGTGGACCTCCTGGTAGGAGATCAATGCCCGAAAATTCAGTCGACTAGAACGTCATTTCCATCAGTGTGTCTTACTTACTTACGCCTGTTACTCCTAATGGAGCATAGGCGCTGAACAGCATTCTCCAACCTTGCCTAACACCGGTCTTCACTTCAAACTACTTTGTCAACTGTCCACCATGCACAATTTTGCAGTTTAATCCATCATAAGAATTCCGTATGATATTGACTATCTTCTGAGACACGCCGTAGTATCGAAAAAGCTTTCATAGTGTTGTTCTGTCCACGCTATCAAATGCTTTCTCGTAGTCAATGAAGTTGATGTAGAGTGATGAATTCCATTCAATTGATTGTTCCACAATGGTCCGTAAAGTTGCGACTTGGTCTGTACACGATCGATCCTTACGGAATCCAGCCTGTTGGTCTCGAAGTTGGGCGTCCACAGAATCCTTCACTCTGTTTATCAATACCCTGTTGAAGACTATTCCTGGTATTGAGAGAAGAGTGATGCCCCTGTAGTTACCACAGTTGCTGAGATCGCCTTTCTTTGGTATTTTGACCAGAAGTCCTTCTTTCCAGTCTGTTGGTACTTGTTCCTCATCCCAAATCCTGCTGAAGAGAATGTGGAGTATCCTTGCAGTTGCCGCTACGTCTGCCTTCAGTGCCTCTGCTGGAATGTTGTCTGGTCCTGCTGCTTTGCAACTCTTGATTTGTCTGACAGCCATGCTGATTTCTTTAATTGTTGGTGGGCCAACATTGGGAGGTCCGTGGGTGGGTTCAGTGGGGCTGGTCGATTCAAGAGTTCTTTGAAGTGTTCTACCCACCAGTTTCGTTGTTCTTCAATGTTGGTGATTACTTTGCCTTCCTTGCTTTTCACTGGTCGATGCGGTTTACGGTGATTTCCAGAGAGTTTCTTTGTTGTGTCATACAATTGTCCCATGTTTCCTTCTCTTGCAGCCTTTTCCGCCGTCATTGCTAAATCTTCCACATGTTGACGTTTGTCGATTCTAATGCTCCTCTTCACTTGCTTGTTTACTTCTGTTTATTCAGCTTGTGCCTTGGTTTTCTCTGCTCTTGTTCGGCGGGTATTGATTGCTGCCTTCTTGTTCCTTCTTTCTTGAATCTTATCCAGTTTATCAACAGTGATCCATTCCTTGTGATGATGCTTCATATCCGGTGTTGTCCATTCCAACCTTGGCATTTAAATCTCCCATCAAAATGGTCAGGTCCTTTGTTGGGCACTTCTTGACGATTGACTGCAGCCTATTGTAGAATTGATCTTTAGCGTCTTCATTGTAGTCGTTGGTAGGCGCATAAAATTGGATAACGTCCATTGAATTGCCCTCTTTCTTTGTTTTGAGGGACGCTTTGATGATCCTTGGTCCATGAGATTCCCATCCTATAAGTGCATTTTGTGCTTGTTTGGACAGCATCAATGCAACTCCTTGTGTATGTGGGGCATTTTCTTCATCATGGCCGGAGTATAACAGAAGCTCCCCTGAAGCTAGTCGTTGTTGTCCAACTTTCGTCCAATGTGTTTCACTGATCTCAAGCACTTCTAGCTTGTATCTCCTCATTTCTGCAGCAATTTGGAAGACTCTCCCAGTTTCCCACTCTTTACGAGCATTCTGTGTACCTAAATAAATGGTCGCTCTGGTTGTCAGAAGGGGCATCGGCCTCGTAACTTCCGAACGAATCCGGCTTTCATCATGAGGCGTCATAATTCTTCTAAACGAAGACCTTCTGACTCCCAGGGCAGAGTTTAAAAGGTTTGAAAAATTTTTTTCTGGTAAGCGTTTTTTTAGCGAGTTAGTTTTCAACTGGATGCGCTCGCTAACCGCATGCTCAACCCTCCTCCTTTATCCGGGCTTGGGACCGGCAGTAGCCCCCAGAGGGACTGCAGGCGGAGTTATCAGTATGTCTACGATGAAGTTAAATAAAAATGGAGAACGTGGACGGCCAGACGGGTACCACTTGAGGTCGCAAAATCAGATGAGTTCGCCATAAGCTCTGACTACTGGTAGTGTTGGAGTAAAGTGCCTTCACTGGGTTTATGTACTTCTGAGGTACACCTTTCAATGACACACATTGCCAGAAAATCTCGTGGTCTACGGAGTTAAATGCTGCCTTTAAGTCAAGAAAAATTATCATCGTCGAACGCCGATAAGCATGCATGAGTTCTAAAACCTGACCAATGGTGAATATGTGGTCGATGCAGCCAGGATCAGGTCTGAAGCCAGCCCGATTTTCTCGTGTTTGTAGTTCACAAGTCTTTCTTAGGCGCACGTTAGTTACCACAGGATGATTTTGACCCCTTCTTACATATTGGGACGACCAGTAATTGCGACCAGTCAGATGGGATCACGTCCAACTCCCAGATTTTAGCTAAAATATTAGTTACCTAATCGCTAAGACTAGACTATCATCCTTAAAGACCTCTGGAGTTAATCCGTCTGAATGGTGGGTAGTTATAAAGTAGCTGATGGCCAGTTGAACTGCTCTTTAAAGTTTTTCATTTATCGTTCTGAACGTCTGGGCTGGGAACAGATAAGTGTCGTCTTTTTCCGAGACAGTCTCACTTACATTTGACTTTTTGGTTCCAATTTTTTTTATTGGTCTGAAGAACCGTCTTGTTGTTCCTGGAACCTAGTTTCGGCTTTCTCATTACTCAATTAAATTCTAATGTGTCTTCTTAGTATGGCTTTTCCGCGTCGAGTGAGGCGCAAGCAAGTGCGTGCTCGTATTAGAGCATGATCAGAGTCTAAACATGTACTCCAGAACGAGCGGTAGTCTTCTATCGAACCTCTCCTGCGATAACTGATGGCTATATGGTGTATTTGAGTCCATCGTTTGTTTGGTGCAGGGGGTCGCCATGTTAAACTATGTCTCTCCTTATGCTTTAAATTAGTGCTTGCTAAAAATAAACGATTGTCTGAGCACTGTTGCAACAAACGATCACCATTATCTATTCATTGAGCCAAAATACCCATTTAAATTTCCTTCTGTTTGGTTTAACCTACCTATATACCTGGGCATTAAATTCACCTGCTACGAGTACTATGTCTGAGCATTTAGCTTTATGAAGAAGTTCAGAAAGCTTTCTGTAAAAGCCATCTTTCACTTCATCCAGGCTGCAGTCAGTGGGAGCGTAGGCAGAAACGACGGAAAAGCAACGACGTGTGTCCCTATTCTTCCAAATTCCTACGCAGCCGTTTAGCCGAACAGCACATAGGCAACTGTTAACGGGAATCCACTCTAATAGTGCTTGTTCCGCCCTCGTACTTAGTGCTATGCCTACGACCGTCAGTCCACGAGAACTAATCGGGTCGCCAGATACACTGAGGGTGTATCTCGTCGGCTCTCCGTTCTGCCGAGGTGAGGTCAGGTGAATGGCCACACTAGGATCCTGTATACGTGTTTCAGAGACATGGCATACATCAATGGTACGAGGTTCTGGGGTCTTAGTCAAGGAGGCCTAGTGGCTGACTTGACATAAGGTGCGTACGTTAAAGGCTCCAATGTGTAGTTTGGAGGGAGGTTTCAGTAGACCTGGAACAGTTTTGCGCACTAGGATTGTTGGCCATGCTGACACTTGAGGAGGAAGCCAAAAGAGGAAGTCTAGTGTTGAAGGTCGATGTATGAGGAATTATAGGAACTGGAGAGGTTGGTGATGAATACAGTGGTCTTAAGGGCGGTTATCAACTCCCGGTTGCCCACACCGTGGACAGTTTCTTTTGGAGGTACCTGAAAGGGGAATTGGATTAAAGGTGGTCTTAGTGAACTGAGAGCGTGACCCCAGTGCCCAAAGGACAACTGCCTGAGATCGGTCACGAACGACGTTTTCGCGGGCAGGTTTTGCGTTAGCTGCGTACTTGTTGAGAACTTACCGACGGAGAAGGGAATCCACGGGATTTGGCGAAGCGTGCATTTTTTAGGTTGGCCTTTTCTAACCCCACCCTTCCTTTGTGGGAAGGCAGCGTCGCTGTTATGCTGGTTGTCTGAAGGAAACACCTTACTGCCGTCACAACTCTGTACAGTAAGAGTACGACTTCGCCTTCGGACCTTGGGTTTGTTGCTTTTACCGCTCTTCAACCGACCTGTCTGGCATGGTAGGACCTTGAGGAACGATTGTTGCAGCCAGTATATTTCGATTGCTTCATCACGATAGGCAAGCCCGACTACCAAGTCAAGGTTGCAGCAAAAATAGTCCACTTTTCCCCTTTAGTCCTAACCCAGAGGTGTGGTGATCGTGAATGAACAATCTAGTAGTAGTGATTGTAAACGTTGAGCGATAGGTGTAAATTCGATGAATCTACATTTAAATACTCATAATTGCAAAGTAGAAATAAGAAACTACCTTATAAATCCCTCTAAATAGTTTATCTTTAGAAAGCAATCATAAGTAATATTAGATAACTCTACCTACATATCAAGAAAAAAATATTGAGGAGTTAGATGTTATTGACATTATCTAGAAAAAGGGCGTAACAGTTACTACCAATCCAGCAAATTAGACAGATAAGGATCCCGACCGTATCTGTTACTTTGATGTGGTGGTCGGTCTTCCCTACTATGATCACTCAACCAAGCCATATTGGCTGGAACACATGTTCTCTTAGGTCCCACTATGCAGGCAGGTGGGTTGGAGAACGGTAAGGATAAAAGCAGCAACTTAAGGTCCGAGGCGAATTCATACCTGACTGTAGAGCGGTATAACAGCAGTCTCTCTTAGACAACCAGTGTTTTCAGTCGTGCTCCCCGTTTACAGCAGAAGGGTAGGGTTAAAAATGATCGACCTTAAAAATGTCACTCCTCACCATACCCCACAGATTTCCATCTCCGACGGTTAGGCATTTTAAAATGTGAAGCTAACTTATCAAATACGTCTCGTGCGCGACTGGCCTCAGGCAGTTGTCCCTTGGACTGTGTGGTTACGTTGACGGGTCTCTAAGATCACCACTGACCCGGATTCTTTTCAGATCCGTCAATAAGAAATACCCTTACATCGTGTGAGCAGTCAGGAAGTGACAACCGTCCTCATACCCTTAACGGCACCCCAAAATCATTTAATTCATGATAAAGCCCTTCGCTCAAATACTAATACTTCCAGTGTCCCCATGACTAACCATTCTCGCATATCTTTATCGCCACGCGCCACAAATCCTAATGATTTGAGTCCACAAAATGTTATGTTGGGCTTAATCTTTGGGCATCGTACTAATATCCTAGGTACAAATTTATCTTGACGTGGTAATATAACGTCCAGTCACAACCATACAAAAGTAAACTTGTCAAACAAAATTTAATTTTTACAATAACCTCCCTGCTTAATAATTTGTTTCTTTGTGTGTTTTCAAAACCGGAGAAATATTCTGAAAGCGGAACATATTCCTTTTTTCCCTTGTTACAATCAAATATATGACGCATTTAGTGATAATAACTAACTTATGAAAAATAGTATTGATTGAAGCTCAATGGGACCGTCAGAACAAACAACCGTTTGTCAACAAAATTTGTGGTTGCATACATATTTTAGAATTGAATGACAAATAGGAATGTGTAACCAAGTTGCACCTTAAAATGTCGAATTGTAGTGCCAACACTGTATTTCAAATTATCACTATTTACGTATTCGTAGGTAAAACATTTTTGTATTTTTAATGTTATGGATAATACATCACATAAAGTCAAAAATTATTCCTTGAATTGCATGCGATGACCTACAAAGACAATTTCATTAGTAACAATATTTGGCCCGCTGATTATCCGTGATTTATCTGCTAAGTCTTTATAATGTTAGGCTGTTTGGATTAAGTAGTCCCAAGTTGACCATTACCCTTTTAAAGAATGATTCACTTTCACCTGTATCGTTTAACTGTTTCAAAATCAGATCCCTAAATGCCTTATTTTTTGCTATCTTACGCTCTACATCATCACCTGTCTCTACTAATGTGATGTTCTTTCCGATCCTGCAAACAATTCGAATTAAAGAAACGTCGTATTTTTCTTGAAATCATTTTCACTAAGCGGGAACTGGACTTCGTAGCAAACATTTAAAATATCTGGTTATAAATTCGCATTGTATTTAAAAAGCCGATATAATCTCACTGTAATCGCTAACTTGATCCAACAAGGCTGGCTTCATGTGTTACTTTACATGTAACTAAAAAAGTGGCCGAATAATATGGTTGTCAACTTAATCCTTGTGTAAAAACATATGGTCATAACCTAGAAGCGTCGTAATATGTGATCATGTTTGTTCTCACGCTTTCTCCTACACCTTTTGAGACTGCATCCAAGCTAAGAAAATAATCCAGTGTAGCTAAAAGATCAAATAACATAAAGACGTTGATATTTTCAAAATACAGATAAGTCTGATAACTGTGTTTGTTAGTGCATAATACTCACTTATAGCCAGTAGATTTAGATTCCACGTTGAATGTCTCAGTACTGGACATAATTTGGTTCAACAACTACACATTTGAATCAGTACTCTTGTACATATGAAGACAAATTCAGTAGCATTATACTTGATCTATCACATCGAGGGATAAGTATTAATGGTATCATAAGTGGCACAAATGGTCATATCGTATCTAGTTGTGTTAAGATCAAATGAATTCAGTGTTTTTTATTACAAATAACTCCATCAATTGGAACGTTTTTTGAGGGTTTTTATTTAATAAAATAATCCCAATGAAATATCTACATGTTGGTACGAGTTGTTAAGATTTTTCGATATCACAGAAGGCATGTTTAGAACTCACTATTTTATTTCTCCTGTATTGATAACCTACGCCGGATAAGCATTTTATTTGTTGAATTAGTCTCATTGTTTGGCTGGAATGTTGCCACTACGTTCCAAATACAACGTTTACTGTCATTAACTGTCTTCAGAACAATTCCCTTTCTTTGTGATTACTCATGAGGTTAAGTCACCAACTGAAATGTCCCGGACATATTCGATTTATCCTTACCTGTCATGACAATAGGTGCCAGGAAGCTGGAAAAAATGAATAGTGTCCAGACAAAAGCTGCTAGGAACTAGACACTTCCTACCGGTTGCATTTATGCCAATAAAGTAAATCCTACCCGCATCACTTGCAAATTTTAGACAACTGGATAGATCATTAACAAATCTCATTACAATATCTAGTTTTTTATGCCACCTCCCCTTGAATCAATGCAGTTGTACCACATGACTGAGTTAATAACATCATCAAATTATCTCTTGATATCAGATTTTTTAATTCAAGCTATTCATATTTTGGTACACTTTTTTATTTGCGTATTCTAATTTGTGGGAAAGTTTAACTATAAATGAGGCAACTCCTAGTGTTTCCCGGCAGTTTTATTTTATTCAACTTAAAACACATTACGTGCAACATGTGCCTTAATGGAATAAGAGCATCTGGATTGTAAGCAAATGTGATATTTATTCGTAAATGACTTATGATTATTGGAAATCTATCAATTTAACTCGAGTTGTTCGTAAGTTTGCGAAACAGTGAACCAAATACTGGTCTTTAATTCAAATTCACTGATCAAAAACTTACCCGTTTTTTTGTTTCTTTCCACAAAGTGATACTAATGTGATTTACAAATGTTCAGTTACTACTCTTTTGTTATGGTATTTCACAATGCTTATACCTGTAAATTTGGAGAATAAGCTACTCTATAGAGAAATAATAATGTACAATATTCTCGTTGTGGTTTGCTTACATCTTGTGCAAATTATACGAAATATACATACACACAGTCTTCACCATACAATGCTGTCAAGTTAGTTTGCTTTTGTTTGTAATTTGTTAGTTAGGTAGATTTAGCTGTAGGAAGTTTTCTTTGGCATATATTTGTGACCCTCAAGGAGTTTTAGTGTTACCAATGAAGCAGGTAATATGGAGTACAAATCTGTGACCATTCGGTTAAAATCTGGACATTAAAACCACCTCTAATTTTTAGCCGTAGTTGATGTGTAAACAGAGTATCTATGTAATCCGGTGGTCAACCAAGGCATGCTATTCTAACTTGTCCACACTAAGTAGAATATTAGTATAGGTCGGAAGTTATACGCTGACTAAATGAAAACCGCTAACGACTGAACTAAACAGTGTGAATAGAGATAAACAATACTTAGACACATTATCATCTGTTGATACAAGTCATCTAAATTTCGTGTATACGTGCGTGGCTTACATTGAGACCAATACACGAAATTTATTGACAACGAAAGGCTACTTACCTAAAGTGATCGCCTTCAGAGGTTTTAGGAAATGCAACGTAGTCCTGGTAAGTGTAAAAGACTAAAGGAATCTAGAAACCTCAGTCGTAATGAGGCATCGTTGAGAAGGCTCTCCTTCCAGCATCGAAATCCATTGTAAAACGAATCGACCTAAATAAATAGCTACGTTAACCCAAATATTTCGGATTAATTCAAATGTTATATACACTGATGGGTTTTAATGGAGTTACACCTTGACAATCTATGTACAGACGTCGAAATTTTGGGATCATTACGTTGGCTATAATTACGTGAGATCCGTCATGGGTTGATATGCTCTAAAATTTGATTTTTGTTCTGTAATTTTTATACGAAAAATTCCCTTACAAAAGAATGTTTCTGTTACGTCAAATATTTGTTATTAGATTCCCAATATCTTGGAAATAAACCAGAGAAAAATGGAAGTAAGCTCACTGTATTTGGGTTATGGAAACACACTGTATGTATATTTCGTGATACTAATGTGAGTGACGTTTGCTTTTTCCCATTGGCATAGTTCAAAGGTCGTCAGTTAAATTTTTTAAAAGTAGAAACCGCAAAACCACCATTTTATGTTCTGGGAGTAGCTGGTTAGCAAATATTAAAAGCTTCAGTGCAACACACGAGTCTCTATACATGAGCGTATATGAAACGCATACATAATATCATCTATATGTATACATAGAAAGTAACCAAACGCTTAGAAAAATTATATGACCCAAGTTGAAAATCAAATCGTTTAGCAAATATTTCACCTCAATTACATTGCGGAACCATTTACCATTGATTTATTTTGTGTAGTATACACATGTTTTTGCACGGACAAGTAAAGTGATCAGGTCAAATTGATTGGGGTTAGTCGTCACCTAAGAATTAAAATTTTCAAGCTTCACGAGATCACTAATTTAATCTACAGAGGTTATGTTAAAAAACGTAGTCAAAAACCTCAATTACTTGATATTATGATGAAAACACGCTGTTTCAGGTGACAGATATCTTACCAGTTGCTGAATTTCATGGTTAGAATTTCTGAGTGGCGGCGCTGTCCACTAGGTTATCACACCCTAAATTCCCTATCGTGAGAACCCATACGGCGTGCATTTTTTCTCACTTAAATGATATTCATTTCTCCAGTTTGGATGTTGAATCATATGTTCAAACCTAATCATTTGTGATATCACTAATTGCTAAGTGAATAACACTGCCGCTTTAACATCACTTCAATATAGAAATCGATGAATTGTTTAAATGGCCTTCACTTCATGACATACAGTTTTGTTATCTGATGTACTCACTCATACATCAACCATACTAGAAGTATTTGCAAACCTACACCTCACTTGTATTCCATGCCTATCAACCTGAATATGAGGCACTACCGCATAACATAAACTGGGGTTATTCACATCGTATGTTAACCTAAGAACTAAATCTTGTGGAGGAGTATATATGCAACAATCAGATACCAGTCCTCGAAGTTACTTTCGAGTTGGCCCAAAGTAAGTAAAAAAAATCCATTGTTAATAAAGAAATGATACAATTTGTCACATTTCGCGATTCAATCCAAATCTGTTTAACACTGACTCTTGAAACCCGTACACTTTGTGCACTACGAAAAATTATCTGAAGAGTTGTGCATTAAATTTATTTAATGAAATCCTTTTGCTTTTATCGTTTATATATCTCAAGAAACAAAATTTCGAAGGAGATTGGTATTTTTCGTGTATGAATATATTTGTCAGCAAGTCTAATCGTGCTTGGTCCATCGTTTTACTGACTGTTTGTGTTACGCTCACTTTCTACTCTACTAATTTAGCCCTCACATCTGTGTGCACACCAAAAATATACTTCGATTGGTTTTTACTTCCACATGATTGCACCTTCATTTATGATGTTTATAGGTAGGTTGTGAAAAAGATTAACTGACATTATTTTCTGTGTAAACAATTGTTTGGAGTGGTAGTTTTCTAATTGCTACTTAATTTCGACTGTCTGCCGTAAACTAAGCTAAGATTCACTTTCTGTGAACATGTGTGAGCTCGTATATATCATCCGTATTGGGAATTTTTAAAGCATTGGAAGAACTAGTTTGTCAGCTAATATACTATACATCATTTGAGGGACAATATTTTTGGGCGGAAAAGATGTGATCTTTAAGCTATGATACTCATTACACTGCATTTTTTAGCGGGCACTCAAGTCGAGTAAATTTTGTAATGCAACTCATGTTTATATAAATTAAGTCATTTTCTTTCCTTTTTATCATTTCAGCAGAGCCTGGGTATTCGTAACAGGATTATTTTGGTTAATGACATCTGTTATACCTATAAGTTTTCTTTTCCATGAACTTGCTGTCTATATACGGCGCCGTTCAAAAAACTGGTAGAATTTCTTAACCGTTTAGTTAATTAACATCTTATATTTTGAATTATTACCCAAAGTTTTATAACTGAAGTTCTGTGATATCAATTTTTTTCCATAGTGATTACCACAAATTTCACATAGTGGCCTAAATATATAATGAATACGATACCAATGTTTTTTGAGTTTCACGTCCAGCGGTTAAAATGTTGAAAATGCTTAGTAGTTGTTTAATGAATTAGTGAGTTATTGTTTAGCAATAGATAATATACTTGGGGAGTATATGTCTACTCCTAAAGTTCTTAGATCCTTAAAATACTATACATCCACCTTCGAAGTTATCAGTGAAATTATTCCAATAAAGCACTTTTTAGAAGGATATGATATTTAAAATTAACCCAACATTTATTCTCTTTATAGATCTCGTACTTATTAATTCGCTTTCGAATGCTTTAAGTCTTTCTGCCAAGTATGTGGAAAAAGTAAACTTGAACGACTTGAAAATACAAGCGCACGTTAATTTCATTGTCACTGGTTTGGCGTCACATCCATCAATAAAAATGGTACTTGACAAAAATGCAAAGTTGCATTTGAATAAATCCAGATTCTCCACATGCTAAGATGAGTAGTAAGTCAAAATACATCATACGAAAAATATATGGATGTTCAACCAAAGTGCCTTCAAACTGCTTTGTTGAGTAGTTAACTGGAAACCTCACCATCGATATCTATTACTTTCCCATATTCTCGCTAAAGGAGATTCTGTCCAGAATAATTAACCATGTTCTGAATCACCAGATGCTTTTCCTTAGAAATTTAAAAGTAATACTTGGTGAGCAGCGCTGACGGTAGTGAGACTATAATTTATGGACGACTTCGAGCGACGCTAAAAAGACCTTGAGAGTGTCCACGTACATATTACGTCCAAATCAGTGTTATAAGCCAGTATGGGGAATTACGATTAGTATTTACAGTTGATAGTTAGGGTTAGGAATTAGATTGAACTTTTCATCACGAACTGACATCAGCTATAATCCCGAAACTTTAGCCACATAAATAAATTAATTTTGCGCCAAAATTTAAGACCTGTTATCGTAAGTCTGATTCATCCGTCCATAAATTATAGTCTCGTCCTGATGGTCTGTTGTCTAAAACGTTTCCAATGATGACCGAATGGTAGAGACAATTAGCCACTGAATAGCTGCATGGCATAATTAGTAACTCCATCATGGATTACTCCTAATGGTTTGATCTAATATTAAGGAAAACTACCCAAGAATTTTATGCCACATGTCAGTGAGTAAATCATATGGAATACAAACTTGAAAATCAAACGATAATTATAAAATAATGTCACTAAGAATACAAAAGATTACTTGCAGGAATAAAAATATAATCCTTTTAGTGGCAAATAATACAAAACTCGATTAATTTAGTGTATTGGGACTGGTCTGCTGACAGTTTTACACTGGTGAGCGTTCAGTAAGTAGGATTTTTTCTCAAAGGCGAACCATACTATTGATACAGCATCATTTGAATAGTGCTTCATTAAGTACTTATTTTTTACAGCTTGATTTACCTTCAGTAGTGGTACGGGTTAGCGCAATATAATATGCATTAGTTGGACCTTCCTGAGTATCATGGAAACCCAATGGCCCAAGATCGCAATCAGCACACGTTAGGTAACGAAATGTGCTTACGCTGTTTGTAAATCCAACATTTTCAAATGCGTACATATCGTTAACACACCAAAATTCTTCAGTTAGTTCCGTAGGGAATTCTTTGGAGGGATTAGATAGTTCCGATTTTTTAGCAAATACGGGCAAGTTGTGCTAAAAAGAACAGGAGAATACTTCCTTATTCATACTGTTCCAAGAATAGACGTAGTGTTTCTTTGCTGAATGTGAACTGAGTATTAAACAGAAAATTTAAAATTTATTGACTCGAAATGTCATTCTATTTGTTGCACAGAATGGTGTTAGGAATTGGTCCCTTTATTGACGTTGAAAACCAACAGCGGGACAGCAGTTATCTCTACTTGATATAAGCTAGGAATATTATAATGCGGTTAACAAAGCATCTGGGAGCTTGTTAGAAAAGTGTGGTTGCTAAGTGTCAACACCCTGGGATTTTTATATTTTGTCACAAACGCGATGTTAGCAGATGATGGAATTTTTACAATAAAAAGTAGTACAGTGACAAAATACTAAAGCAGTTGATGTGACAACCAAGATTGTCTATTGACACTCTGACCTGCTTTTTTCGTAGAATGAATAAGAAATTTTATTAAATGAACAAAAATTGAGGGTGCAACTAAGCTATGCATTCTGTAGGTTTAGTTGGCTTATATATTTTTGACAATCACTAATGCACTTTGACAAATTATGTCCAACCTGTTATATTTGTTTCGTACCAGTGCAACTTAGTGTTAAATTGAATGAGGTAATCAACTAACAATACATTTTACGCAAAATATTTGAATCACACAGAGACCAGAGTTCGTGTGTACCCAAATATCGCTACAACAGAATAAAAGTGTGAGGTTCCCCCTACCAACACACACACTGGGCAACTAGTTGTTAGCGGGAAATAGACTGGATTAAAGCATGCTCAATGCACGATTGCTTTGGTGCATGCTGATTGGCCAATTCTTATCCACTCAACGCTAGTTGATAGTTGGAGAATACTCTGGAATCTTCTCATGTAAAAACTATAAATATACTAACGTTTTCTCTATTATGCTTTTTACTTGCTTCTTGCTTCCATCTAACCTTGTTATTTGGAATATAATCTCTTTGCTGTTCAACCGTGTTCTGATTTGGGGACTTGTCGAGTGAATCGGTGTCCGAGAATACTAAGCAATAGGAATAGCTGGGGTCATAACCATAAGAAAGAGATTATAACACTAATAAATTACGGAAACCTTTGCTAAATGAAAGGCCTTGAAGGTCCTGATCATGTGAGTAATAGGATGTGGAGATTTTGGAAAGCTGCTTATCGGGTAATCGACTTTTACAATATTCTATCCTGGACCAATGGAGTGCACATCTGCAAAGAAATCTCCATTTACTTATGTAGTGATAAAGGAATATCATGCTCCACTAGAGTAAAAGATTGTAGATTGACATGTAAGGGCTTTTTCGCGCAAAAGTACCTGTGCCGCTCAGTCAAAATCATGATCACCAACATATGTCACTTTCAACTCCAATGAAATGTCCAATTGTACCTGGAAAGGCAGATTTATGAGACGGGCAGGGGGATAGATAATTATCCTGCTCGACAAATAAACAGCAGAGAATATTATTGTAAGGGCAAATCAGTTACTCAGTGCAGTAGCTCATGGTTTATACTAAAGGCGACAATAGTCAACTATTTCTATCACGATCAGTACGCAAAAGCTTTATTGTTGTTGAGTTACAAGATATCAGATAACTCGCATGACTCATATAGTTTAAAATAACTAGTCACCGGTCTTGCACCATTTTAGCCGTTATTTTTTATTAAAATACAATACTAATTGTTTCTTCATAAGGTTTTTACTGAGACACGTTTGTTCATAAGCTGAATGCCTCTCCACTTTTTTGATAGGACCCAGAGTCGGCAAATAATGAACAATGGGGAATCTGCTAGGATAACATTTGTGAAATACATACAAGCCATCAATTTAGCTACCGTCACTGTGCCCGAACCACAGCATTGCTAACGGCGTCACTCCTGGATGTCAGCAGTCCTTTGGAGAGATTGGGTTTTCAAGCATAGACCAAAACTGCTCCCATTAACTCGTTGTAGACCAACCATCTGCCGCCAGACTAACATCACGACGTCGCTAAAGATGGCCAGGATTGTAATAAGCTCCTCTGGCTTTCGTTATACGTAAATTGATCTCATCACTCACGCCACAACTACTCAGTTACACGAACTTTCTAATCCTAACGGCTAATCACCGAGTGAGTACAAAGAAGCACGAGCTCTTGCCAGTCTGGTAGAGGCACTTTGCACTTAAGTGCAAAGAACATACAACACCTACAGATGCTGATTGCCTGAGTATCAACGCGGAGTTAGACAAGATCATTCGCGTACTCAACGTCGGATTCTTCTTACAGGTAAAAAAACCACACGACCATCACCTACTTCGATTAGGACTGTTAACAGAATTTCATCAGTACCAAGGTTGAAGAGTAATGAAATAGGGAAACACTGTCTAACATCCCTGCTTGAATGAAACAGTGGTAGGTGGTTGCATACTCTCACTCTGTCTGATGTTTGTGTATACGGCCTTGAAAGTGTTTTCAAACTTTTCAGACATACTTCTTTTTAACAGACGATCCTGTCCATTATATCGGAGACCGCGACATCAAAAAACGATTGTTGGCCTGAAGTATGTCAGAGAATTAAGCTATGTTCAATGAATGCACAACCCGAACGAAAACCGGACTGCTCCTCGCCAGTCAATTATTCACGGATTCTAAACAGTCTGAGAAGTGCGATAGAAGTAAACCATTGGGGAGCAAATGGTGGAAAACTTATACCCGATATTCGTTGCATAGAATGGGTAATCCCTCTTTAAGATGGGGAAAACGACTGCTCGGTTTCACTATGTCGGGACACTGTTTCTCAAACCTTTCCGAACAATCTAGTCAGTCCTCTAATTAGAAGTTCTCCACTATCCTTAAGAAAGAGCTGCGGACAAGTCATCTAGACCCGGTGATTTATAGCGCTTTAGGAGTTGGAGTTCCTTGTGGACTCCCGCCTCGTTAAGTTGGTCATTCGTCACCGGTCATGGAGGACAGAACAGTCTGATAGATGTCGCCGGGGTAAGCACTAAGCTGAAGCATAGAAAATTTCTGTTTGTTTCGCAGCACACGTCTAGATTTTGACCATACTTTATTATTAAGCAAACATTTCTATGTGTTCAGTCAAGTCGAGAATGAGTCCAAGAACTGGCTAAGCACGTCGTCGACTACGAAGAAAACATTTCTCCCAAATAAGATTTTATTGATATTCAAACAGTTGTAAATGCAACAGTGATAAGTTCCAGGAGCATAAATCAAAAGGTTTAGAAAGACCAGTGGATTTCGAAACATCCACTAAACTGATGGATGCTCGTAGACTCATCCCAGCAGGCTCAGAGAGCGAGGAATACTACAATGGATTGACAAAAAGCGTACGCGATGATCGTAATTAGTGGGTGGAAACGAAGCTAAAAGGGATGCAAAATGCAGCAGCAATAGATAATATCAGACAGCTGTTCAGGCTTATCAAGAAAAGCCGGAATTAAATTAAACTATTTTCGAAGATGGGACGGCAGTCGACTCTCAGTTCACGGGAATGAGATGATGACTAGGACACTTTAATGTTCTTAACTGGTCTTCAGCTACTCCCTAGTTATTCATTGTTTCTAAACTACCTGGACGGAAAGTTGAAACAAGTCTCCCAAATCTTAGCGAAGTTGGAAAGGCCATATCTAGATCGCAGCAATGAGGAACAGCTATATCTAATAGGTCAAATGTTCAGATACTAAAGTATGGTGGTTCAGTCTAAGCATTTTAATTGACTGAGGTACCAGCTGGTTTGAGGGCTGGACATAGTCCCATCAAGATGATCTCAATCACTGGTCGCCCTATAAAGGACTGAAATTCTCTTGTGATAACCAAAGAGAAGTCTCTGATTTATTACATACAATGTTGCGCACCTGATATATTACTAGTTGAGCGTGTCGACCGCTTCACTTATCTTGGAAGTCTCATCAACCCTTGTGATCTGGTGTGTGACGAAATCTCAGCACGGATACAGAAGGGTCGATTAGCTTCTGCAAACTTGCGTCATTTATGGCGTCGGCGAGATATCCATCTATCAACCAAAAGACGTGTTTACTGCGCAGCAGTTCGTTCCGTCCTATTTTATGGCAGTGAAAAATGGTCGGTAAGAGTAGAGGATATTCGTAGGTTACTAGTATTTGATCATAGATGTCTTCGAAACATTACTCGTATATCCTGGGACCATCGAGTAAGTAACACAGTTGTTAGGAAACGGGTACCAGGTAAGGATGGCAAATCCATTGGTGAAGTAGTAAAACTTCATCAGTTGAGATGGCTGAGACACGTATTTCGTATGCCCAACTACCGACTGCCTCGACGAGCGATGTTTTATGGTATATTAGTAGGTTGGAAGAAAGCTAGGGGCGGCCAGATCAAAATATGGCACAAATCCATGAAGTCACTGACAAGTGGACTGAGCCATGTTGGTAGGTGTAGACTACCTGGTTGGGGAACGCGAGATGATAGCAACCGATTGTGCTGAGAATTCTATATTGTACCAAAATATAATATTGAATAAAGCCATTAATAATAATAATAATGACATGGCTCAAAATCGTGTGCAATGGTGCAGGTGCATCCACTCTTTGTGTTCTCCCAAAGTCTAATCTCCTGAGTCTACCTTGTCCCCTTTTTTTCTCTTTCCAGATTTATTTCATTGGATTATATTCCTTGAATAACATCTTCAAACCCTAATCTTTCCGATTACTGCTTATACTCATACTACCTCTACCACTACGGGATTTGAATCGACAACTGCATCGCTGTGCTAATGTGGTATGACAACTCGAACTAATGTACGTACGTACAAAGTTCTACGTTGTTACTAACTGACTGACTTGTGAAGAATGAACCTACGAAAATCAAACTGGTTTTAGACCTGTATGTAGATGCACTAATCAAATGTTCAACCTTCGTCAGGTTTCGGAACACAGATATGCTTACCGACCATAGTGGTATTTCCTAACTTGAAGGTAGTATTTGAATTGGTCAAGCGATAGCTCAATATTAAGCAATATTCTTTAAGGTCACGAAATCCCTTTATGCTTATTTGAATTCTTCGTTTAGCTCTTCAAAGGTAGATCATCAATTAGATTTACCCACTGAGTTAGAATACGCAAATGACAACTTTATTTACTGATTACATCTGAAGCCAGCCTGATTTTCTCGTGTTTGTAGTTCACAAATTTCTCTTAGGCCCCCGATAATTATTGAGTCTAGTATTTTAGATGCTACATAAGTCAAACTAATACCTCGATGGTTATCACAGGATGGTTTTGACCCTTCGTTCTGAACGTCTGGGCTGGGAACAGATAAGTGTCTTCTTTTTCCGAGATAGTCTCACTTACATTTGGCTTCTTGATTCTAGTTTCTTTTATGAGTCTGAAGAACTGTCTTGTTGTTCTTGGAATCTCATTCACACAGTCAGTAACAACGTAGAACTTCGTACGTACGTATGTCTGTTCGAGTTGCCATACCACATTAGCCTAAAGATGCAGTTGTCGATTCAAATTCCGTAGTGGTAGAGGTAGCAAGAGTATAAGCAGAAATCGGAAAGATGTGTGATGTGTCCCAACTTGAGTCTATGGGTTTTTGTGAGGCATTCTACACTGATATATCGAATTATTCATCTGGTGTATAATTACTGAACAGGGACGTTACAGTGAGAGAAAACTAATGTTAGATTTTAAAATTCTTACTTGTTTGTTGGCTAGCTTTGCTGTATTCTTGCGAAGAACAATACTGGAACATCGCGGACAAAGAATGTTGAATTGATTGTATCCATTCTGAGTTATTTGATCATTAGCGTCAGTTGAGTCACAAAATCTGACAAATCTCAGTGTAAGTAAAACACTTAACTTACTGTACAGACGACATTCAGTGAACTTTATTCTGGTAGACAAAACGTCTTAGTAAACTGCAATAAAATTTCATAAACGATTGAAAAGTTATTGCAGATTCATACATTACCGTGATTTACATTGATTAAGCAAATTAAAAAATTTCACTTAACCTCGATAAGACATGTGATTCCACATTTCCAAGTTGAATATTTAATGAATTCACTTAATCACTACGTTATGGATTTAATTCAACAGACTATGGTACAGTGATTAATGATTGCATCGAAGGTAATGTTCACACCTTGTACGCAATCACTTGGTTGAATTCGTATTAGATAACCAGTTTTCCTTTTAGGTCCCTTAATAAGAAATATCCTTACACGGTGTGGAAGAATGGGAAGGTACAACCACCACCAGATACTCGAAAGGTAAACAGCTCCAATTGCTCATGAATTCTATGTCTATGGCAAGCACTTTTCTCGCTCCGAAAAACAATCAGTCGATTCAAATAATTATCATTACTATTATTGTCATTATTAATATTATTATTATTACTATTATTGTCATTATTATTATTATTATTATTATTATTATTATTATTATTATTATTTTCCACATTATTCACCCTCTTTTATACTTATACAGCGGCTCGTCTTTGGTGGAAATCCGATTGTATCTAAACGTTCTCGAGTCACTGTCCGGTTGAAAATTGTATTTTACCATCGAATATGAGTACTGAAGCAGTTTTTCTGAAACCACGTGCGCCATTCAAACTGGCTGCCTTCAACGTTCGCACACTTATGCAGGTTGGTCAACAGATAGGGCTGGCTATGTCTTTGGAAAGTCTTAATATTGATGTTTGTTGTCTATCCGAGACCCGTATTCAAGACTCTGGCGAAGTACTACAAATTCGCTCTACATCTGTCACTTCAAAAAGCTTGTTTTACGTGCGCTTATCCGGGGACCCTGTGGCATCTTCGTCTGGTCTTGCAGGCGTTGGTGTCGCACTAAGCGCTAGAGCTGAGGCAGCACTAATCGATTGAATCCCCATTAACAGTCGGTTATGTGCTGTTACATTAGAAAAGTTCCATCAAAGTGAGAAGAAATCGGCGTGAGGAACGATGTCTTTTCGTCATCTCCGCCTATGCCCCGACAGACTGCAGCCCGGATGCAATCAAGGATGAGTTTTACCACCAGTTATCTGTTCTTCTCCAGAAAGTGCGTTCGACAGATATTGTAGTACTAGCCGGAGACTTGAATGCTCAGGTCGGGCGTCTAGGCACAGAAGAGAGTCGTTTAGGTGGCCGATGGGGACTCGTTGGTCGCAGGTCAGATAACGGGGACCGTCTACTGCAACTGCACAGACCACAACCTGTTTCTGGCTAGCACTAACTTTCGGCACAGTCATCGCCGATGTGCCATCTGGCGTCCTCTCTCTGCATCCCAAGCCTGGACTCAGATTGATCACATCGCGATCAGCTACCGCTGGCGTGGTTGTGTAAAAGACTGCCGCTCCTTTTCGAGTACCTATCTGGACTCTGACCATGCCTTGGTCTGCGCCAATCTTGCCTTACTTTTCAGTGGACAACGAAGTGACCGCCAGCAAAGGATTTATATTAGCAAGCTGGTTGCAACTTCTGTTGCAAATAAGTATCGAACCGAGCTAGCCTCTAGGCTAGCTACCACTCCACCGAAAAGTATAGATGAGCATTGGTTGCAATTGCATGACGCCATGAAAATGGCGGGTACAGTCAGTTGTGGGTTTGCGAAACGTCCCGCTTTTAAGCACTGGGTTTCTTCTGGTTCCTTACAACTCATTGAAGCCCGTCGGTCTACTCCGGGTGACCGTGAGTTTGACCATAAACGATGGATGTTACGTAAGGAAATCGGGCAAAGCTTGCGTAAGGACCGAGAAGCCTGGTGGTCGAAGCGTGCTAATGAGCTGGAAGCAGCAGCTGCATCTGGTAACTACCGAAAGCTCTTCCAGCTCATCCGAGCCACTGGCAGCAAGAAGTCTGGTGTGAGTGAAACAATCTGCGAGGATGATGGGATGCCAATCACTAACATCCATCGACGTCTTGGACGATGGGCAGAATTTTTCGAAGGGCAGTTCAACTGGCCTGCTGCTCCGGCAACATCGGTCAGACTGTCCTGCCCTCTATGGCCGGTGACGACTGATCCACCAAAGGAGGAGGAAGTCCGCAAGGAACTCCAACTCTTGAAGCGATACAAATCACCTGGCCCAGATGACTTACCTCCAGCTCTTTTTAAAGATGGTGGTGACTTTTTGACTAAGGAATTGACGACGTTGTTTACAAAGGTTTGGGAACTAGAGAGTGTACCAACGTCATGGAATGAGTCGATAGTTGTCCCTATCTTTAAAAAGGGTTCACGTCGTTCCTGCAACAACTATCGGGGGATAAGTCTACTTCCGACTGCGTCCAAGCTATTGGCTTCCGTCATACTTCGTAGGTTGTTCAAAACCCGAAAAAGATTGACTCGCGAGGAGCAGGTTGGGTTTCGTTCTGGTCGAGGATGTATTGATCATATCTTCACCCTCCGCCAAATGTTAGAACACCGCCATACTTTCCAAAGGCCAACAATCGTAGTGTTTCTTGACATCAAGGCTGCCTTCGATTCGTTGGACAGGACTGTTCTCTGGGATTGTCTATTGAAGAAGGGTGTGCCTGAGAAGTTTATTAACATCCCAAAAGCCCTATATACAAACACCCCAGGTAGAGTGAGGGCATACAGCCACCTTTCTCCATTGTTCCATTCGAGCAGTGGCGTTAGGCAGAGTTGCCCAATCTCACCATTCCTCTTCAACCTTGCTATCGATGAGATTCTGGAAACAGCTCTGATGAATGTAAGTAATGGTGGTGTGGATCTGTTGCCTGGAGAAAGACTTCTTGACCTTGAGTATGCGGACGATATTGTCTTACTGTGCGATAATGCTCAAGGCATGCAATCCGCACTTAATCAGTTGGCAATCAGTGTCCGTAGGTATGGTATGTGCTTTGCACCTTCGAAGTGCAAAGTACCCCTACAAGACTGGCAGGATTCCAATCCTGTACTCACCCTGGATGGTGAGCAGATAGACGTAGTCGAGAAGTTCGTGTATCTGGGTAGCTGCATAAGTGCTGGTGGGGGTGTGAGTGATGAGATCAATGCACGTATAGTGAAAGCCAAAGCGGCTTATGCCAATCTGGGCCATCTTTGGCGCCTTCGTGATGTTAGTCTGGCTGTAAAAGGTCGGATCTACAACGCGTCGGTGAGAGCAGTTTTGCTCTATGCTTGTGAAACCTGGCCTCTCCGAGTTGAGGACGTTAGACGACTCTCTGTGTTCGATCATCGTTGTCTCCGAAGGATTGCTGACATCCAGTGGCTGCTCCATTTTAGTAATGCAAAGGTTCGGCGTCGTGTGTTCGGGCACAGAGACGATAATGCAATCGGTGTCACCATCTTGAAACACCGACTTCGGTGGCTTGGACATGTTCTCCGAATGTCATCTCAGAGAATTCCACGTCGTGCATCATTTGCCGACTCTGGGACTGGTTGGAAGAAGCGGAGAAGTGGTCAGTGCATGACATGGTGTCGTGGCATGAAAGAAAGCTGCAAAGGACTGGCTTGTGTTGGTCCTTCACGACTCCCTGGTTGGGGTCTGAGAGATGGTGCTACACTGTGGCTAGAGACGTTATCAGATATGGCTCAGAATAGAAGCCAGTGGCGATCCTGCTGTAACCTTCTTTTACTTTCTTCATAAAAAGTGGTTCTATCTCCCTTACCTGAAAGATTTCTTCCGATTGTACCTTTGGGTTCCCTGATTACTAGCACATTACCTTACACCAATCTCTTCGTTATTGTTCTCTTTTTTGTTGTTGCGCTCCTTAGCTTTTCTTTCTTTGTATTCCTCTTGAATTTTCATTGTTTTGTGTGGCGCATATATATTGGCGCTCTCTTGTACCAATATTCATGTGTCCAAATAAATAAATAAAAATCCAATTGCTCATATAAACGAGGTGAAGTCAAATGGATGGCTGTTCTGGGATTGTTTATGTGCGTTTCGCAGACAGCACACATCGATCGCACGAGATTCTGAAGTCATAGCCAAAAAACAACATCCAATCAGCTATAACGTAGGACCAGTTAAATATATATATATATATATATTGGTCCAAGTTGTCATACCTCATTAGCTAAACACTATGAACAACAAATTCATAGCAGTTAACTCACTAGTATTAAAAATCAGCTACGTTAATTCATATTATTAGTTTAGGCACTGATGCAAATATGTCTTGAAGTAATAATATGGAGTTGGAGCGGGAAACATTCATTCTAAAAAGGCTAGGAATACTGTCAAAGGCGATTAAGAAACGTTGAGTTTCGTCGGTCTTCACAAAATAGAGCTACGTGGTACCCATGGAGTTAATCCATTTGGATGGTGGGTAGTTGTAGAGTAGCTGAAGGCCAGTTGAACTGCTCTTTAAAGTTTTTCATTTATCGTTCTGAACGTCTGGGCTGGGAACAGATAAGTGTCGTCTTTTTCCGAGACAGTCTCACTTACATTTGACTTTTTGGTTCCAATTTTTTTTATTGGTCTGAAGAACCGTCTTGTTGTTCCTGGAACCTAGTTTCGGCTTTCTCATTACTCAATTAAATTCTAATGTGTCTTCTTAGTATGGCTTTTCCGCGTCGAGTGAGGCGCAAGCAAGTGCGTGCTCGTATTAGAGCATGATCAGAGTCTAAACATGTACTCCAGAACGAGCGGTAGTCTTCTATCGAACCTCTCCTGCGATAACTGATGGCTATATGGTGTATTTGAGTCCATCGTTTGTTTGGTGCAGGGGGTCGCCATGTTAAACTATGTCTCTCCTTATGCTTTAAATTAGTGCTTGCTAAAAATAAACGATTGTCTGAGCACTGTTGCAACAAACGATCACCATTATCTATTCATTGAGCCAAAATACCCATTTAAATTTCCTTCTGTTTGGTTTAACCTACCTATATACCTGGGCATTAAATTCACCTGCTACGAGTACTATGTCTGAGCATTTAGCTTTATGAAGAAGTT